AACCACATCATCCACAAAAAGCAGAGATGAGATTCTGAGGCCACCAAAGTGAAAGCCCTCCGCCACTTGGCTGCGCCTAGAAATCCTGCCCATCACCCACCGGGAACGAGTCCGACTTATTGCTGGCAATGCGAACCAAGCTCTTGCAACGGTTGTATAGGGATCGAATGGCCCGTAGCAATGGGCCAGACACCCCATACTCACGCAACACCTCCCACAGGACACCCCGAAGGACACGGTCAAATGCCTTCTCCAACTCCACAAAACACATGTAGACTGGTTGTGCAAACTCCCATGCACCCTCAAGTATCCTTGAGAGGATAAATAGCTGGTCCAGTGTTCCGCGACCAGGACGAAAACCGCATTGTTCCTCCTGTATCCGAGGTTCGACTAGTGGACGAACTCTCCTTTCCAGCACCCTCGCATAGACTTTCCCAGGGAGACTGAGGAGTGTGATCCCCCTGTAGTTGGAACACACCCTCCGGTCCCCTTCTTAAAGATGGGGACCACCACCACGGTCTGCCAGTCCAGGGGTACTGCCCCTGGTCTCCACGCAACATTGTAGAGGCGTGTCAACCAGGACAGCCCTACAATGTCCAGAGCCTTCAGAAACTCGGGGCGGACCTAATCAACACCAGGGGCTCTGCCACCAAGGAGTTGTTTAACTGCCTCAGTGACCTCGCCCCCGGAAATTGGCGGGTCATTCCCCTCATCCCCAGACTCCGCTTCCTCCTCGGAAGGTGTGTCAGTGGGATTAAGGAGATCCTCGAAGTATTCCTTCCACCACCTGACAATTTTCTCAGTCGACGTCAGCAGCGCTCCGCCAGCACTATACACAGTGCAGGTAGAGCACTGCTTTCCCCTCCTGAGACACCTGACGGTTTGCCAGAATCTCTTTGAGGCAGTCCGAAAGTCTTTTTCCATGGCCTCTCCGAACTCCTCCCACACACGAGTTTTTGCTTCAGCCACTGCCCAAGCCGCATTCCGCTTGGCCTGTCGATACCTGTCGGCTGCCTCCGGAGTCCCACAGGCTAACCAAGCCCGACTCCTTCTTCAGCCTGGTGGCTCCCTTCACCTTTGGTGTCCATCATTTGGTTCGGGGATTACCACCATGGCAGGCACCAACCACCTTGCAGCCGCAGCTCAATGCAGCAGCTTCGGCAATGGAAACGCTGAACATGGTCCATTCGGACTCAATGTCCCCAGTCTCCCTCGGAATGCTGTTGAAGCTCTGCCAGAGGTGTGCCTTGAAGATCTCGCGGACTGGGGCCTCTGCTAGACGTTCCCAGCGCACCCTCACTACGCGTTTAGGTGCACCGGGTCTGTCCAGCGTCCTCCCCCGCCACCTGATCCAACTCACCACCAGGTGGTGATCAGTTGACAGCTCAGCCCCTCTCTTTACCCGAGTGTCCAGAACATAGGTCTGGTGATATGATTACAAAATCGATCATCGACCTGCGGCCTAGAGCATCCTGGTGCCACGTGCACTTATGGACACTCTTATGTTCGAACAAGGTGTTCGTTATGGCCAAACTGTGATTTGCACAGAAGTCCAATAACAAAACACCGCTCGGGTTCAGATCAGGGAGGCCGTTCCTCCCAATCACGCCCCTCAAGGTCTTGCTGTCGTTACCCATGTGAGCATTGAAGTCTCCCAGCAGGACAACAGAGTCTCCAGGTGTTACGGTTTGGAGGAGGACTCAAGCGCAGGACTCCGGTTCTGATGCTCACAAGAAGGGTTTATTTACAATTCACCAGGTGTATATACAAGAATGTGTGGGGGGTGCTATATACAGCTGAGTGGGGGGAGAAGGGGTCTCCAGGGTAGTCCAGGGGAAAGCACGCGTTCTTCCGATTATCCATTCACACGATCACAGGCTCACACTCCGACACTGCCACACGGGAATCACACGGGGGTAAATCCAGGAAGCTCTGTAGACAGGGAGACAGGGTTAAGTACGACGCACAAAGGAAAGCACTCTTAACTAAACTTGCTGTAGCTTGACTTCACTAACGCGTGGTAGACAACAATCCAGCGACGAACAGCAGTCACCTCCTGGTTTAAATGCTGCTCACCTTAATGAGATCAGGTGTCTCATCTCCCGAGGGTGTGAACCCACAGTGAGTTCTGCCCCGGCGAGAGAGAAGAGGAGAGAGAGAGGAAGAGAGAGAGAAACAGAGAGAGTGCTGATCAGCATGCAGCACAGTACCCTCCCCCCCCCAACGGGAGCCTCCCGGCGAACCCCAGGCTTGTCAGGGTGAGCCACATGGAACGCCCACACCATACCCCGATCCAGGAGGGCCGCCCGCAGGATCCAAGAACGCTCCTCCATTCCGTAGCCCTCCCAATCCATGAGATACTGCAGACTGCGCCCCCGGCACCGGACATCCATGATTCTCGAAATGGTGAAAGTCGGGTGGCCATCAATGACCCGGGCGGGTGGAGGGGGTCTGGAAGGAGGGCACAGAGGACTAGAGAGGCGCGGCTTCACTTGCGACCAGTGTTGGTCAAGTTACTTGAAAAAATTACTTCCCCCAAAAAGTAATCCCATTACTTTACTGATTACTTATTTTCAAAAGTAATAATTACTTAGTTACTTAGTTACTTTTTAAAAACACGATTTACAACCTGAATCGGTGATAAAGCGATAGATCTTTCAGCCCAATTCTACTTTTTCTACATGATCCATCATATGCAACATTCTCTGACTGGAAGAAATTTGTTTAACATTTAAACCTATTTTTTGCACATTCCAGCACATAATTTTTCTTTTTTTTTTGTTTACACTCACTCTTTCAAATAGATGCAAGTAAAACACAGCAGAAGATAAATAAAGTCAAAGACTAGCGGTCCTTTTGCTCTATTTTCACCTGTAAAGCAGCAGTAGGGTAGGTGGAGGTTTACTCTGGTGCAGGTGTGCCGC